GCCACGAAGGAGAACTACAGCTTTCTGCGGCCCCGGGACACGCTCTGTGAGATTCTCGAGCATAAGCTCGTTGATTGGGGCGCCCATGAGCAACATCACCTCTCTGCCTGTCTTGTCCCGGTTGCTCACTAAGTTCATTGTAGCACATGGACTGCAAGCAGCGTAGCCTACCAAGTATCGTTGATGGTGTCCCAGAACAAGGAATCGTCCGCCAGGTGTCAAGCAGCTAAGCGGCCTGGCCAGCACTACTGATCTGCATCTTGAAGTAAGTGCCCACAGCGAAGGCCTTCCATCAAGAATGCAATGTGCCCTACGTAGAGACTGCGACGTGTTGACCATGGCCAGCGAGCTGGCCTCGCAAATCACGGGAGCGATAATCCCATCTGAGTAACCAGCTCCAAAAAAAACGCAATTCAAGTTTTAAGCTAGGCCTGATTTGCTTTGTGATGTTGCCAGCGCAAGTCCAACAGGTTCATCTCGCGGCGGGTGGATACCCAAGCCGCTGCTCTCGGGAAGGCTGCTTTGAAGGATCCATGCGCTTTCTTCCACGATACCTCGCTATGCAACAAGCAGTCTTGACACTGGCTAAAACTCAAGAGTCCGAGGCTGAAGCCTTGTTTTCTCTCGCCCATTTCTTGTGTTGTGCAGGCCACTTCAAGTTCTTCTCTGGCTTCCTGTCGGAGACAATTCAATACCGGAAACACGCTGTCGTACCGCTGCAGTATTGCGGTCCTGTTTTCAAGTCTTGCTCTTTTGTGGCCTCGTCTCTCCATCTTGTCTTTCTCGAATACGTTGTTGAGCATGAGATCCATCCTTGGCAGACATGCCGTGCAAGTAGTCCAAAACATTAGCAATGAGACTGCCACCCTTGCAATGCCAAGCCTCCAAGAGCACTTGGCCTTGCAACGCATGCCCTGCAAAACTCCTTCTGCGTAGGACTGAAAGTCCCGCTTGGCGTCGGAACGCAAGCAATCCCGTCTGGCCAGCAGAATATATAGGCGTCTGCGTGTGATCGGGCTTCCATGCTGCAGCCTCTATGGATAGCACGGCATCTGAACACACACTATTTTTTTTATCAACCATGACACGCAGCCGAAGAGCGGATCTATCGTCAAAACTGCAACTTCATACCTCGGTCGGGCCATTCATGTTGAAGCAAACCCTTCGAAGAGATATGCGGTGCCCCGAAGGAATAGATTGCTGCAGCCAGGGGTCGTACTCAGTTGCGATGTCACAGTCTGCATGAAGATCCTGAGGCATCGTCGGAATCCCATGACATTCTCCAACACAGCGACCTGAACTGTGTGCTTGCCATCATAATACTGTCAACACAATTCAAATTCAATCATGGACAAGTTGCTGCGGGGTTTATTTCCTTGATATTCTGCAATGTTTTCCATAGCTGCTTGGCATTCTTGTCTTTGAGCATCTTGGACATATGGTGGAGCATCGAAAACGGAGTACATGGGAACCCAGCTGTGTAAAGGCAAACCTGCACATTGACTGGAGTGACAGACTTGCACCAAGGGTACTGAGGTCGGACCTTGTCTTTCAGCCAACTCACGTCTGCTTTCATCATGTCTTCCGAAAGCCTGAATGACTTCACGTCATAGTTATGGACTGCAGAAACCGCAGCCCAGCAGGAGTCTGAGTCACGGCGGCACTCCTTGAAAGTCAAAGTTCTGTTGCAAAAACTTGCGTGCGCTGCTCTTTCTTTCACTGCCTGACCTCAGCAGCAACGCACAAGGCTTCGGATGCTACAGTCAACAAAACGAAACTGTAACTATGAATAACTAAACCGAGACACAAATGAGATACAGGTGCCTTGCCCAGCAGCTTTCTAAGCACCATCAGCGGTGTTTCTGTACCACTGCCTGAAAACCGGACTACAAGGGTGAAACATGTAGCCGAGGGCCAATGTGCCAAGTGGCAATCCGATGCGTACGTGAAAAACCGTCGCTCTGTCCGGGATAGCTGTCCGTCTACGAAGTCTTTGAACCGGGTCATTCCTGCCGAGATTTCTTTGCCACTCCAATAGACACCCGGCTTCAGGCCTGGGCAGAGTCCTAGAAAATCAGGTGCGAAGTCGATGTACTGTGACTGAACATCATCCAAGTCTTGCTCCTGCCATACAGGATGGCATACGTTCGTACGTCTGTGCCACGGCATTTCTCCTGCAAGCTGCTGCTGCCGCTGCTGCTGCTAGAGATGCGCCGCACTATTGGCATGCTCGGGTGCTTGGAAAACTTGGCCAACATTACATTGTCTGTCTGTGCCATGATGTCTTGTCAGGTCCAGGTGGTCTGGACTGTAATGTGTTTGCTGACAGTTTTGATGTGGCTTTGGGCCTGGATTGCCGTGAAGCCAGCCAGGCATGCCAACAACTTTCCTGAGAACGAGACAGCTGAGCGCCTTGCCACATTGCTGCGTGCTGTAGCGGACCTTGGGTTTGCGGAGGTGCCGAAGTCGCTGAACCCGTGCGGTCTAGTCACACAGACTATTCTTTTAAGGATGTGCTGCTCATTCAGATTTACTTCAATCACATCGCAACATCTACTTCGTCAGCAAACTCAAACCAACCTGTCTTAGGTGTTGACCTGATTCTTGGACTGCTCCTGAGTACGTCTCCATGGCCCAGCCTGGCAACACAAACGAAGTCCCAGGAATATTTCGAGCAG